TCTGTATCTGATCCCTACCCTCCAGCATATCTACCACGCCTCCCAGTTTAGTGTCATCTGCAAACTTGCTGAGAGTGCAGTCCACACCGTCCTCTAGATCGTTAATAAAGATATTAAACAAAACTGGCCCCAGGACCGACCCTTGGGGCACTCTGCTTGAAACCGGCTGCCAACTAGACATGGAGCCATGTGCAGTGGTTCTCAAACATTTGTACTGGTGACCCCTTTCAGACAGCAAGCCTCTGAGTGTGCCCCCGCCGCCTTATAAATTAAAAACACTTTTTATTATATTTAACACCATTATAAATGCTGGAGGCAAAGAGGGGTTTGGGGTGGAGGCTGACACCTCGCAACCTCCCATGAAATAACCTTGCAACCCCCTGAGGAGTCCTGACCCCCAGTTTGAGAACCCCTGATCTAGTGCAACCTGCATCCATAATTCAAAAGTAGCTTAATTTAAAAATTTCAGATTGCATGAGAGTCTTGTTCTTAATGAGAAATAATCACTTGGTTAAATTTGATTTTTTTTTCTATCTATCTAAATACCTAGATGACCCCAACACTAAAGTAACTGACCACCGTTATGTTGTAAACTATTCAAAATTTGCTTACACATAAACATGATACAAAATTTCTATTAGGACTGTTGGTAGCATAAAACATCTACAATACTCTGAAGCAGGGGTGGGCAAACTATGGGTCGCTTCCGGCCCGTCAGACGTTTTTATCCAGCCCTCGAACTCACACTGGGGAGCGGGGTCGGGGACCTGCCCTGCTCAGCCTGCCCGGTGCTCCCCAGCCCCTGACTCACAATTCCCTTGATGAGCACCATCTTCCGGCATGGAGAGCCACACTGCACAGGTGCAACTTCACCACACTGTTTCCAGGTTTGGAACCCCGCCCCTAGGCAGCAGCCTCCCCCCCCCCCACGTGGCAGTGCACCCAATCCCCTCCAAGTCTCCTATGGCCCTACTCTCGAGAGCCTTGAAACTGCCCAGGGTCCCAGCTAGGGTACCTCCGCCCGTGCCTGATACGGCCGCCTTGGTGTCACTGCCGGCAGGGCCCCGAAGAGTCCCCGGTACCACCCATGTAGAGCCCCCCCCGTGCCACACCCCATGAGTCACCCCTCCTCCCCTCTTGGTTAATATCCCTTATAGAGCCCCCCCATACTACACCCCATAGAGTCCCCCTCCCCCACTGGGCATTCATGATCCACCACACAATTTCCATACCCAAATGCGACCCTCAGGCCAAAAAGTTTGCCCGCCCCTGCTCTGGAGGAGTGTAAAACTTAATTACACAACTCCTAAGTGCCATAGCCAGGGGTTTTCTTTCTTTTAAAAATGGAAGTAAGGGAAACATCAGAAAAAAATAAGTTAATGCAACATTAATGTTTCAAATTAATTTGAAAAAAATCAGGGATGGAAAAATTTCTTCTTGCATTCTTAATCATTTGTTTTCGCTGACTACTCATAACTGACATCATCACACTAGCCTTTTCCTCCTCTCAACCATGGGGGGAGGGAGGCAAGTCCAGAGCGGTTCTATTGTAGTTGGGGCTACAGCTGCCATCTTGGTACACTCTTCCCAGAATCAGAAAGCTTAAACATGCTACTTTTTATATTATGTGATGGGGCAAGGCCAGATGGCTACAGTAAAGTAGTGAGGAACAGGTATGTTAGCCCCAGGCTAAACAATCCCTGGTACCATGGTAACCAAATGGCAGTTGCTCCAGGTTAATCAAGTTTCAGAGTAGCAGCCGTGTTAGTCTGTATCCGCAAAAAGAAGAACAGGAGTACTTGTGGCACCTTAGAGACTAACAAATTTATTAGAGCATTTGTTAGTCTCTAAGGTGCCACAAGTACTCCTGTTCTTCTTTTTGCAGGTTAATCA